TGAATGGCCCCTCCCAGAGGAAATAAAAGGGGAGCGAAAGGGGAGTGGAGTTTGCAGGAGAAACAATTAGTTTGCTTAATTGGGCCGTCATTCTCCAAGACTCCATGCCAAGTTTTGCAGATATGGCCCTGGCATCTCTCCAAGCCAGATAATGTCTGTGACTGTAAATCCTCCCTTGAAAGACTTTGCTGGATTTGAATGAGCGGAATTCACAGGAAATTAATAAAAGGGGTTTTTGTCGGGACAACAAGGAGTTTGCTTCCTGTTCTTGAGTGCCAGTAACCGGAAGACCAGCTGGCAGGTGTGCAATCACACGCCGGAAAACGGGAGTTTGTTTTGGGGCGTCTGCATATCCACTTGGCAGTTTGTCTTCCGGGAGGCACTCGATGCTTCATTGGCCAAGAAGCCAGATCGGAATGGGTGGTGGGTTTGGAGCGCCTACTGATATTCCAGGAGGGGCTCAGAAAAGGGAGAAACAGGGGCTCTCTTTCCAGAATTGGGAAGAGGGGGAGAGAGAAAGGATGGAGAAGCAGGGAGGCTGGACACTGCAGTAGACCCATCTCCCCCCCCCCTTTAATCAGAAAGAGGAGGGGAGCAGAAGGAGAGGGTACTTGGTTCTTTGGGCTGCTGGCTGAAGCAGGCCCCTTGCTGTCCTCACACACACACACACACAGCTGGTGAGCAGCCTCAGGTCTCTGGGATTGCATGGGTGGGGGACAGGTAGGAGGGAGGGCATCTGCTTAAAATCCTCCCCAGGCTTTGATGGAAGGGAGGGAGGGAGGGAGGGAGGGAGGGAGGAAGGAAGCCAAGGAAGAAATAGGGAGGGAAGGAAGGAGGCAGGGAAGGAAGGAAGGAAGGAAGGAAGGAAGGAAGGAAGGAAGGAAGGAAGAATGGAAGCAAAGGGAGAAATGGGGAGGGAAGGAAGGGAGGAAGGAGGCAGAGAAGAAGGAAGGAGGGAAGGGAGGAGTATGGATATCACAGAAAGAGAGGCAGACGGAAGGATGGAAGCAAAGGGAGAAATAGGGAGGGTGGGAAGGAGGCAGGGAAGAAGCAAGGAAGGAAGATGGAAGGAAGAATGGAAACAAAGGGAGAAATGGGGAGGAAAGGAAGGGAGGAAGGAGGCAGAGAAGAAGGAAGAAGGAGGGAAGGAAGGAAGGGAGGGAGGAGTATGGATATCACAGAAGGAGGGACAGACAAAGAAGAATGGAAGCAAAGGGAGAAATAGGGAAGGAAGGAAGTAGGCAGGGAAGAAGCAAGGAAGGGCAAGGAAAGAAGCAGAAAAGATAAAGAAATTTCGGTGAGGGAGGAGGGGACAATAGGAAGAAGCAGAAGGAAGGAAGGAAGGGAGGGAGGGAGGGAGGGAGGGAGGAAGGAAGGAAGGGCCGTTCAGGAGATGCATAAGGAAAGCAGGAGAATTGATAGGAGATGGTGCAAAGGAAGAGCAAGTGGAGGCGATGGCTGGATTCCCACCTGGCCCCCATCAGAGGGGCCTGGTAGCTGCCATGGGGCCCCAGGCCAAGCCTGGCTAAGAGGGGCCCAGAGGGTTTGGTTTGGGGGGAAAGCCGATATGCTCAGCTGAGGGTTCAAGGGGCTGTTTGTGCTCGGGGGGGGGGGGACACCGCTGGGGAAAGACCCCGGGGATCAGGAGACCGATGCGTGTGGAAGCCTGGCGCATAAGGGGAGGCAGGTGGGGGGGCCGCCTAGCCTGACTTCCGCCCGCCCTCCCTCCCTCCCCTTGACAGCTCTGGTGTTGGGATGCCGCGGCCGGCCGAGCCCCCTTTTCACCTCTCCGCCCCTCTTTGTGGCTCCTCCGGCAGGTCGTCAGCTGACCATCTTCAACAGCCAGGCCGCCATCAAGATCGGAGGCCGCGACCAGGGCCGCCCCTTCCAGGGCCAGGTCTCGGGGCTGTACTACAATGGGCTGAAGGTCCTCTCCTTGGCCGCCGAGAGCGACGCCAACGTGAAGGTGGAGGGCAACCTGCGGCTGGTGGGCGAGGTGCCCTCCGTCATGACCACCGAGACCACGGCCACCACCCTGCTGGCGGACATGTCCACGACCATCATGGAGACCACCACCACCATGGCCACGACCACCACGCGGCGGGGCCGTTCCCCCACCATGCGGGACAGCATCACGCAGGTGAGTGGGAGAAGGGAGGGATGGTGGTGCGGGGAGGGAGGGACGGAAGGAGAGATAGCTAGGAAGGTAGGAAGAAGGAAGGGAGGAAGGAAGGCTTGGAAGGAAGGGAGGAAGGAGAGCTAGAAAGGAGGGAAGGAGATGAGGTGTGGATGGAAGGGGAAGTAGAAGGAAGGAAATAGGAAGGAAGGAAGGAAGGATAGCCAGGAAGGAAGGAGATGAGGTGTGAGTGGAGAGGAAGGAAGGAAGGAAGGAGAGAGCTTGGAAGGAGGGAAGGAGATGAGGTGTGGATGGAAGGGGAAGGAAGGAAGGAAATAGGAAGGAAGGATAGCCAGGAAGGAAGGAACAAAGAAGATGAGGTGTGGATGGAAGGGAAGAAAGGAAGGAAGGAAATAGGAAGGAAGGAAGGAGATGAGGCATGAGTGGAGGGGGAAGGAAGGAAGGAAGGAAGGAAGGAAGGAAGGAAGGAAGGAAGGAAGGAAGGAAGGAAGGAAGGAAGGAGAGAGCTTGGAAGGAAGGAAGGAGATGAGGTGCGGATGGAAGGGGAAGAAAGGAAGGAAATAGGAAGGAAGGAAGGAGATGAGGTATGAGTGAAGGGGGAAGGAAGGAAGGAAATAGGAAGGAAGCAGGAAGTGTGGATGGAAGGGGAAGAAAGGAAGGAAATAGGAAGGAAGGAGATGAGGTATGAGTGAAGGGGGAAGGAAGGAAGGAAATAGGAAGGAAGCAGGAAGTGTGGATGGAAGGGGAAGAAAGGAAGGAGGCCAGGGA